AATGAATCCTAGACCTAAATATAAAATTTCTAGAAGACCTCTGTGACCCTGGGATTAGGCAAATAGTTCTTAAATATCACAACAAAATCATGATTCATTAAACATTAAGAACAAACAGTAAATTGAACATCAAAATGTAAAACTTCTACTCTTCAAAAGACAACTTTCAGAAAGTGAAGAGTCAGCCATGTACTGAAAGGACGTATTTCTAGAGAGGAGCGGCACGTGCTCTCCCCTCTCCTCGCCAGGGCGTGTGCTCGCCCACCGACATCAGCACACTCCAGGAAGGGGGGATCATCTGGCAAAAATGGCCCTTTGCCCACTGTGTTTAAGGTTCCCATTTGACCAGATATTTCAACTTTGTTCACACCAGCTTATGCAAAAACAACACACAGCCCTGTGCTGCCAGTGAACTGGCAGGACATCAGACCAGAGCTGAGTCCTGGGGTGCTGGCAGAGCTGTGGCTCCAGTTCCCAGAGTTCAAGGTGGTGGGACCCATCGTCCTGGCCAGGGAGCTTGGGGAAACATGGGTCGTGGGAGCCGCATGTTTGCACCAACCAAAACCTGGCACTGTTGGCCCCACCGATGAACACAGCACAGGAGTGATCCGCCATCTGCTCTGCCCTGGCTGCCCTGGCCTTACCAGCACTGGTCATGCTGAGGAAGGTCCTGAACTTCCCTTGATGGATGAAGATAAAGTTGAAAGCTGTAAGAAAACCAAGGGCGCTGTTTTGCTTCTAAAGAAGCTTAAGGTCTGGAATGACACCACAAAGATCTATGCCTCTCAGTGAATGAGAGCTGGCAAGGGCAAAATGAGAAGCCGTCCTCGAAGCCAGCGCAGGGGACCCTGCGTCATCTATAATGAGGGCAACGTTATCACCGAAGCCTTCAGAAACATCCCTGGAACCACGCTGTGCAATGGAAGCAAACTGAACACTCTGAAACTTGCACCCGGAGGGCATGTGGGCCGTTTCTGCGTTTGGACTGGAAGTGCTTCCGCACCATGATCTGTGTGGCACTTGGCGTGCAGCGGCCCCTCCAGACCGACTATGACCTTCCTGTGCACAAGACGCTCAGTACAGACCTCAGCAGAATCCTGAAAAGCCCAGAGATCCCAAGAGCCCTCTGAGCACCACGCAAGAAGATTCATCACAGAGTCCTGAAGAAGAATCCCCTGAAAAACCCCAGAATCGTGTTGAAGTTACACCTACGTGCAAAGACCACACGTCAGAACCAGGCCAGGGACCACAAGCTCTGGTGGACAGAGCAGCAGCAGCTCTAGAAGCCAGACCAGATGAGAAGGGGATTCCGGGCAAGACGCCTGTGGTGGGGAAGAAAGGAAGAAGGCCGCAGGCGTTCAGGAACAGAAGCAGCCTTTGGTGGGAGAAAAGGCTGCAGCCACCAAGAAACCAGCAGCTGAGAAGACGCCTGCAGAAAAGAAACCCACAATGGAAGAAAAGAAGCCTGCGGCATAAATTTAAATTTGTTTATTCCATGAAGGTCCAATCACTATAGACAGCTAGTTTCGAATAAACATGTCAAAGGCAGTGAAAAAAAATATTTCTAAGTCATTTCTCTAAAAAGGACTTGTATGAAGAATATACAAGGAAATCTTGCAACTCAAAAGTAAACAACCCAATTAAAAATAGGCAAAACTTTTAAGTAGCTATTTAACCAAATAAACTATATATATTAATAATAAACACATGAAAAGATGTTCAACTTAATTAGTAATAAGGAAAATGCAGACTAAAACCACAATGAGACACCATTACATGCACATTAAAATGGCCGTAATCCAAAGGACCAAAAACACCGAGTGTTCATAAGAGTACGGAAAGGGTAGGACCTCCATACATTGCTGTGGGGAACACAGAACGACACACACTTCAGTAAACAGTCTGGCACTTTCTCAAAAATTACCCATATGCTCACCATATGATCCAGCAAGTTTACCTCTAGGTATCTCCCCAAGAAAAATTAAAATGTATGTCCACACACAAACTTGTACATGAATGTTTACAGCAGCGCTCATAATAGTCAAAAACTGGAAATAACCTAACTTTCCTCAGAAACTAGTGAATGGATTTTAAAAATGTGGTCTATCTAGCCAATGGATTATTGTTCATCACTAAAAAGGGACAATGTAAGCTAACATCAACGAACTTCCAAAACATTACACCATACACAAAGGACTACGTATTGTATGATTCCATTCGCACAAAATGTTCAGCAAGGGGAAATCTACAGAGACAGGTAAAAATCATCTATAAAAAACGGAGGGCCAAAATTAATGTCATTGTATCAATGTCGATTTCCTGGCTTTTACTTTGTCCTGTAGTTACGCACGATGTTACCACTAGGGGACCCTGGGTGAACGGATGGGAGACTTCCCTGGACTTTGTGCAACTTCCTGTGAATCTATAATTATTTCAAAATAATTTTTTTACCAAAAAATAAACTGGACTGGGGCCCCGGCCGGGTAGTGCAGTTGGCCAGAGCATCACCCCATACATAATCAGGGCACACATAAGAATCAACCAGTGAATGCATCAATAAGGGGAACAACAAATCAGTGTTTCTCTCTCTTTAAAATCAGTAACTAAAAAATGTTTTAAAAGCTGGACTGGAGTGATAGTTACACAACTGCATAAATTCATTAAAAATTATCAAACCATACTTGTACAACAGATGACTTCTGCGGTGTATAAAATATATCTAAACGCCACTGTTTTAAAATAAACAATAATCAAACCCTGATATACTTTCCCATGTAAAGTGAACACTGATACATAACAGGGCATCAAAAACACCACTTTCAAGATTCCTTCAAAAACCTGTAGTTCATTTCTGATTTCTAACTCAACTACACTGTCAGTTAATTTTTCTTCTAAAAGTTTTCTGAAATAACGTACAAAGTTTGCAGTAACTTTCCGTTCATCCCCATAAAAGTAGTAAGCGCAGGTAACAAAAGACTGGCAGTCCATCCTCGTTGGGTCACTGACTGAGAAAGGCGCGTGCCGTAGGGGAGCCGCTCTCAGAGAGGACGGAACACAGGCCCACCACCGACAGGCCCGCTCCCCGAGAGCACAGGGAACTGTGCTCTGCCTGTGATCACTTCACACACGGTAAAGCCGCGGGCACAGGAAAAGGTCTGCCGGCAGGGGCTCTGCGGAAAGCCTCCTCTAACCTTACGGTGGCAGCACAGTCCTTCAAAAAGCCATCCAGACACCCTCTGACAGTTCCACCGGCACCGTGAAAGCTGGGCTCTTTCTTCTCCCGAGTGCACAGGCTGCTTTGCCAGCTCTTTCCGGGCCAGCCTCTTAGATCACATCAAGGCCCCGCTGGCCTCCTCCACTGAGCCGACTCAGCCATCGCTGAGGTCAGGAGCAAAGTTTCCCTGGTTGCAGTCACCTTTCTCCAGAGCGGTTGGGAGCTGCTGCTGCTTTATGAATCTGAGTCCATACTTTGTGATCTGACCTTTTCTTACAACTGGACTCAGTAGCTCCCGCCTTTCCTAACGACTTTCCCCCACGATGAAGTCCTTACTAGCATACGCTGATTAGGGATACAGCCCCTGGCTTCTTTCCTCGTTCCTCAGCTCTAAGATACGCTTCCAGAGTCTGGCACGTGCCCTGTGCAGACCTGGACAGAGATCACAGACAAGGCAGCTGCCAGCTCTCCACAGCAAGAAGAGACATGGCCTTGTTACACAAACTGGAATTGTATCGGCAGGACTGCTAAACAGCAAATGTAACTGGAAACAGTTTAACCTGAAACATTCACATTTAACTAAGGTCAACTGTGGGGGCTATAACACACGGATAGAGTGAATCTGCTTCACCACAGCCATTTCGTCCTCTATACTGGCAGTGCAGCAGAATGGCTTATTTTTAAGCATTACATCTGACACACCAGCAAACATGCATTTTTCCTATGCTTTCAATTTAAAAAAACAAAACAGGGAATCTAAGATTTTGTTCAATTTAAGCTTCAACCTTAACAAGGATGTCTCAGCATTTGGAGAAAGAACTGAACCAATGGACTGCGTTAACACTGATCAATCTCGTCCTGCCTGGTGGTCACCTTCTTTCAGACTGCGACACTTTTAGGCCCAAAGTCACCACACTGCAATTTCAGTTTGTCACAATTTAAGCGGAATATGACAAAGCTAAAGCTTCACCTTTCAATGTGTGATGTTCCACCTAACTCAGTTTTGAGACTAGAATTCTTTCCCTAACCTTTTCTACTTGCTCAATATGAAAGTCTACACAAAAGCCCTGTTTTGGAAATCCTCTTTGAGGCACATTCGGAACCCCTCGCAGAAGGCGGCAGTATGAAACAAGGCGTAACACACCGGTGGGGGTCATCCCTGTGAACTGGCAGCACCTGCTGCCCAGCTGTGCGGGGGGAGTGCGGTGCGCGGGTGGCTGCTGAGCCCCTGCCAACGTGCAGTGAGTGACACACACTAGCTAGTTATCACTGGTCCAATGACTGTTTTACTGCTCAAAAACAAAAATACATTCAAGCTCTAAAGTTCATCGTAACTGGCAGGATAGTTCGTTTTACAGAAGAAATAATTTCCTCCTCATAAAAAGTAAAATTAATGTATAAATTTTAAAGAAATACTATTCTCCCCTAACATTACAATCGGTTATTCTAAAAATATCTGTAACGGATCCCCTGAATTACAAATATTTCTGATTTAACATATCTTCCTCTAAATTTAAATTATGTGCACAATATTTTTTCAAGACTTTCATTACAAATTTTTATGTTTTGGAATGGTCTTTTAAACATAAAAATTAACAGCAACTGACTATTTTAGTACCAAGTAAATAATCTCCACATTAAAGGGTTATAAAATCCCAGTGTCTAACCATTTTCCGACCCAGCCGGAATACAGACCTTTAAACATACAACCCCCAGGGCTCACAGGCGGAAAGACTGCCGCTGCCGCTGCTCAGTGGGCACAGCCGCAGCGCCCTGGGCACCGTACCTCCTTGTCTCGCATGCCGTCGGCTTGCACGGTCTCCAGGCGGGCTTTAAAGTGCTCGCAATCCATTCTCAGTTGCTCTAATTCTTGCTCCTTCCTTTCCATGTCTAGAAGAAAGAGACAGAAATACCTTCTATTTCAAACCACTAATATCTTTTAAGCATCCATTTTTCCTGATCTCTTGGGAAAACTTACACTGGTTTCTTAGGTTATATTTGCATAACCAGTCCTTGAATAACCAATATTCTAAAAGTCCTGCTTTTTAAGTTTTTATCTATTATAGCCCATAGTAAAAAGCACTTTTTTGGTTTTCTGCTTTGTGTTTTTAGGACCTCACTTTACTGCCAAACTTATAGTCAGGCTTTAAGTGTGTATTTAAAGGACTGGAGGCAGGGCTGAGAAGCCCGACTGTCTCATGGCACAAACTTGTATCTGTTCCAGGAAAAGCAGAAGGCAGCTCAGCGAGGAGACGGTGCCAGCCGGAGCTGATTCACAAAGCTGGTCTCTCCACCGGGCAGAGTGACTCAGTGGGACAGCTGCGGTCGCAGTCAATGGAGGCGAGCACGGTGACGGAGACCAGAAAAGGCTGCAGTGGAAGGTGGGGACAATGGAGCACTTCCTCCACACCACGTTCATTTAAATGATTCAAATGACCAATAGAAACCCCAAAAGACATCCACGTTCATAAAGCTGAAATCAGAAGCATTATCACTTTAAATACACAGTAATATGTGGCAGAAATACCAGCATTCGAAAAGCAAAGAAACACATACTTTAAAAATGTAAGTGCCCTGATTTCAAGGGTTGAGAAAGCACCAGTTTTCATGAGGACATGCACCAAGACTGGGACAGCACGTGTGCTCAGAGACGATGGTGTCACTTCTCTGATTAAAGTGGTGACAGCTGAGGACAGTGATTCTCGGGCTTCAGGGGACCTGAACAGACACAGGCTAGGCCCAGACCTCAGACTGATGCAACAGGACTGAGGTAAGCCTAAGACTCTGCATTCCTTACAAGGCAGCCAGCGGGCTGATGCTGCTGGTCTGGGAGCAGACTTTGAGGACAACTAACTGCTTTGGGACAGCAGCCTGGTTTCTCATCACTAGCTCAATGACATCAGCACACAACTAGTGACGGCAATTGAGGGAAGCCAGGCGTAGGAATGCTAAAGGGCAGAGAAACAGAGGATGGTGAGAGAGCGTCAGAGAACAGACCCTTAGAAAGCGGAGTATTACTTCACCGTAGAGAAATGGGGCCAACAGACACTTCCTCCGGGGCCGTGCAGACAAAGGAGAAGGGGTGTGGCTTTGGAACTGGGGGTCTCAAGAGAGAGGGCAAGCGGAAGCCCGAACAAGCAGCTCAGAGGGCCTGCCAAGAACAACACGGGCATCCCAGAAGCTCTGGAGAGTAAAGGAAGTGTATGTTTCCCGGAGACCCTTTGTCCTGGAAGGAAAAGTAAAACCTAAAGCTAAACACTTAGATAGAGATTATGAAACTGGCAAAGCTTCTTTTAAAAGGTGTTTCTTAGAAACTGGGGTGAAGTCATGTGAGACCACTTGTTCTCCCTTAAATCACTTTTCTTCTGCCCTGTTAGGGTGTCTTATTCCATGACATGACTGTCACTGGAAGTCGTTCTTTTGTCCCACCAATCCTGGCCACACAAGAAATCAACTATCAATCAAGTGCTATGCTTGGAACACTACGTCTGCCTTTTGTAGCAAGTGCTAAATGAAGACATACACTTATATACGTTACCCACTGTTATGTATGAAATATGAACTGGCCACAGACAAAGAAACAAAATGAAAAAAGGAACTAAGACAAAATTACTGATGATGTAAAATTTTTACAGTTAACTTTCAAATGTTTCTTCTATTATTAAACTGCATGTTACTTAAACACGGTCAAGAAGATAGGAAATCACAGTTCTACAAGCCTTGGTACGTGTAAAAATTGGTAAGAATTCTGACTCATTATGGTAATTCCATAGCCTCTCACTCCACATAGCTGTCCACCTGCACGTTATCAGAAGGATGGGGTTAAAACACCCCCTTTGACTTCCAGCCAAAATGGAGGGGTAGGCAGACACACTGTGCCTCCTCCAACCAAAAGAAGGACAACAACAATTTAAAAACAAAAAAACAACCAGAACAGAAAATCGGACTGTGTAGAAGTCCGATAATCAAGGAGTTACAGTAGACACATTCACCTAGACTGGTAGGAGGGGCAGAGGCGGGAGACCAGGGTGGAAAGGGCTCGAGGCAAAGCGGCGGCTGAAAGACCCAGCGAGCCAGTGGATCGTGGAGGGACACAGCACACAAAGTGGCTGGCAGATCAGGCGGTCCCACATTTGCGTGCAGATAAACCAGGTGACACTGGGGAGCAGGACAGACAGAGCAACCCAGGACCCCAGCTCGAGGAAATAAAGCCTCAAATCACTGACTGAAAACACCTGTGGTTTTGGTGTTTTGCTGTTGAGGTGCCAGGAGAGACTCCCAGCCTTATAGGAGAGTTCGTTGGAGAGACCCACCAGGTCCTAGAATGTACACAGACCCACCTACATGGGACCCAGCACCAGAAGGGCCCAGCTGGCGGAAGGGACTGAAATCCAGCAGAGAGCGGAGCAAGCGCCATTGTTCCCTCTCGGACCCCTGCCTCACATACAGCGTCACAACGCAGTGAGGTGGGTTGCCCTGCCCTGGCGAACACCCAAGGCTCCGCCCCTCACTACGTAACAGGCACATCAAGACCAAAAAAAAAAAATGGCCCAAATGAAAGAACAGATCAAAGCTCCAGAAAAAATACAACTAAGCAACAAAGAGATAGCCGGCCTATCAGATGCACAGTTCAAAACACTGGTGATCAGGATGCTCACAGAACTGGCTGAATTTGGTCACAAATTAGATGAGCAAATGAAGGCTGTGCTGAGTGAAATAAAGGAAAATGCACAGGGAACCAGTAGTGATGGCAAGGAAACTGGGACTCAGATCAATGGAGTGGACCAGAAGGAAGAAAGAAATACTCAATCAGAAAAGAATGAAGAAACAAGAATTCAAAAAAATGAGGAGAGGCTTAGGAACCTCCAGGACATCTTTAAATGTTCCAACATCCAAATTATAGGGGTGCCAGAAGGGGAAGAGGAAGAACAAAAGTTCTGGAAAAGTTATTTGAACAAATAATAAAGGAGAACAATCTGGCAAAGGAAATAGACTTCCAGGAAGTTCAGGAAGCTCAGAGAGTCCCAAAGAGCGTGGACCCAAGGTGGAACACACCAAGGCACATCAGAATTACATTAGCTAAGATTAAAGATAAGGAGAGAATCTTAAAAGCAGGAAGACAAAAGGAGAGAGCTACCTATAAAGGAGTGCCCATAAGACTGTCAGCTGATTTCTCAAAAGAAATCTTGCAGGCAAGAAGGGGCTGGAAAGAAGTATTCCAAGTCATGAAAGGCAAGGACCTACATCCAAGATTGCTCTATCCAGCAAAGCTTTCATTTAGAATGGAAGGGCAGACAAAGTGCTTCCCAGATAAAGTCAAGTTAAAGGAGTTCATCATCACCAAGCCCTTATTATATGAAATGTTAAAAGGACTTACCTAAGAAAAAGAAGATAAAAAAACATATATAGTAAAATGACAGCAAACTGACAATCATTAACAACCACACCTAAAACAAAACCAAAAGAAACTAAGCAAACAACCAGAACAGGAACAGAACCACAGAAATGGAGATCACATGGAGGGTTAGCAACAGGGGAGTGGGAGGAGGAGAGAGGGGGAAAAGGTACGGAGAATAAGTAGCATAGATGGTAGGTAGAAAATTGACAGGGGGAGGGTAAGAACAGTATAGGAAATGTAGAAGCCAAAGAACTTACATATATGACCCATGGACATGAACTAAAGTGGGGGAATGTAGGTGGGAGGGGGTGTGCAGGGTACAGGGGAGGGAAGGGGGGAAATGGGACAACTGTAATAGCATGATCAATAAAATATATTTAAAAAAAACACACCCCGTTCAAGCACAGGCCGCCCCATCACATTCACTCACGTCAGGGACACCACCCCCACCTCTGTGGGCTCTCCAGGAGGAAACAGGTGCCTTTCCTCAGTGCGAGGCCGCCGCCTTGTGGCCAGATGGGAGCACTGCCACTGCCGTTGCTGCCTGACAAAACTACCCCCTTGCATTTTCTTTTTTCATTTTATTTACCTTTTTTTTTTTTACTTAAAACAATCAATGTATTGTCTCCCAATTCTGGAGGCTACAAGTCTGAGATCAAGGTGTCCACAGAGCTGGCTCCTATGAAGAGCTGTGAAGACCTCTATCCTCGGTTCATCTTCTCTCTGGTCTCGTCACATGTCTTTACTGTGTACACACTCGTGTCCAAAGTTCTCTTTTGTAAGAACAGCACATGTCAGACGTTGGATCAGAGGTCACCCTAATCACCTCGCTTTAACCTGATCACCTCTCTAAAGGCTTGCTCCCAAGTAAAGTCACACTCTGCGATACAGGAGGTCAGGACTCAGTATACGCATGGGGACGACCCTGCATCTTCCACGGGGCCGCGCCCACCACATAAAACACCATGAGGGCATGTAACAGGCACCGCATAAATATTTGCCACAAAAATAAATTTCACTTCTTTATACATTCTTTCTGCTAATCCTTGAATAAAAACACAAGTACTTTATGTTTCATTCTTCTATACTGAAATTTGCAATTTTTAAAAAATCAGAGGCAGAAATAATACGAATGGTGAATGAAACACTATACATAGTCAAGGCACTGTCTTGCCCAGCCCCACTATTAGAACAGGGGAGGGGCGGCCACCCAGCCTACGCTGCATTTCAGCAGCTGATCTGCAGCATTCAAAATGAAGGGGAAATCTCCATTTGACTGTTGACTGAATGAAGGGTGGCCGAGACAGAACAAATACATAAAAACAAACTAAACAACGGGCCCTTTCAGTATCTATTTATCTTCTGAATTTTACAATCCTTTTTGGTCATTTTGATAACATGAGAATGACTGTAACTCTTAATGCTCAGCGGATTCACAGGGAAGGTACAGAGAGCTACACGCAGGCAGGACAGAGAGCTACGGATGAAAACA